GCGGGAGCGCCGCCGCGCTTCCCAAGCAGCGCACTGTAGCAGTGCTCCACTGGGCTGGCCCTGTACCCTAATTTCTAAGAACACTAATTCAGTGTGGATGTAGAGCAGGTAAGAAGAAGGGCTTTTGTGTAGGGTTTCTCTTTGGGAGCCTGTACTCACCCAGGAGATGTGAACCAACTGTCCAAAATGCCTAAGACACTGTCCCATAGCTTAGAAAAGAAGTGAATTTGCCCAGAGAATGGGATGCACGTTCCACAGGCAATCTGCTCCTAGGAGGAAAAGCCGCCCTGACTGGGTTACAGGCTGAAGCCAGGGTGTCCGTCTGGCTGGCCAGTAGCTCTTCCTGCAGAGGAGCCATTAAGTGGGAACGACGGAACCCTCCCCGTTTACTGCTGTTCACGTCAAAGGTCACCGAGTGCCTGAGACATCTTGTTCCTGCGATGTTTGCAATGACTAAAATAAAGTTTATTGTGCCAGACATGCCTCTTAGAGATGAGTGAGATCCTTAGAGAACTGAATGTACCAAAGCGAAAACTCACTATTCACTATCTTGAGTCACGGAGCCAAAGACTCCCTTTTTTAGGAACATGGAACTGGAAAGAGCCTAAACCCATGGAAATGTTCTTTGAAATTTTTCGATTAATTCCTTAAAATGGCGTATGAACATTTATTCAGACACCAACAACCGGTGCTTAACAATTCACAGACTAAACCCCTTTTGGAACAAGATTTAAAGAATACCCAAGTCATATGATGGGTCCTGAGGCTAATCTACACCACTCTTAACCTCTGCTTAACTTCGTCCCGGGCCCCCCCTTCATTTTCTCAGGAAATGCTACTTTTGGATAGTCCTGGATTTTCCTGAACGTGGCACAGGTAACCCCATCCTCATTCACTAACACTGCAAACCCAGCAGTGGTTGGCGGGCAGGTTGCTTACTGAAAACCTAGCGGGGCGAGGTGGTGCGGGGTGGAAGGGAGCTTGTGAGATTACAGCAGGGTCCTTGCAGCTTGCTGGGCTGAATTCGTTTTCATCCCAAAGTCCAGGGCACCCCAAGAGTGGCTTGAATGGCCCTTGGAAGACCTAACCTGGCCTTCTTTCTCTATCAGATCTGATCCCAAGACCTCTCTTTCCCAGCCATCCCCCTCCCCGCTCCTCCTCCGTCAGTCAGTCATACTCTGACAAGAAGGGCATGTGCTTACACTGCAAAGCTCTGCTTTCGTCTCCCAGTGCGGCAGGATGTGGCCTGTTACGGCACACTCCATGCGGGGCCTCACCCTCCCCGCCACCCCTTCCATTTATAGTACAATCAACTTCTCCTCTCACAGTTCAGTCTGTTTATGCACTGATGTCATCTGGGGAAGGCGATCTTTTCCTGAAGTCAGTACAATGCATACTTGGACAAAAGGCAGAGTGCTGGGAACCAGGGGCTGTCCAGGTTCTCTGGGACGGACACTTGTGCCCTAGGGCACACCTCAGCTAGTGGCAGTTGGATACACCATGTTCCTGTGGAACAATCAATAGAGCTCGGGTGGAACCTCATAGAAAGTGGCCTCATTAAAGATAAACTTGGCACTGCTTGGGCACCCACAGCTCACTTGCCCAAAATCCACGTGACTTGTGAGAATGGATCGCCAGTGACTGTGTGGCAGAAAAACATAGGTCATGAACAGGAAGGCTATGTTGCTGTGACCATGGGCAAGGTCATCTTCTACCTGAGCCTTTTCTT